AGTCTACTGGTCACAGGGAACTACACATGAGACCACCGGTGTAGGATGAGAAAATTTTCTCTTTTTTCTGGGCCCAATCCATGCTAACAGGGTTTCAGTCACTTGTCAATGGGTCACGGTACTGAACAACATTGAGGAATGTGCTAAAACAAGCACCTATTACAAAAAAAAACAAACCCAAAACTTAACCTTGTTGACTTTGCGTAACTACCAAAACTGGGGATATGCCAGACCTGGATCCTTAGAAGACTGGCCTGGCATCCCAGCACATCTCCAGGGGCAAACTCACTGGACCAAAGAATGGGGATGTCAGGCCCAACAGTCAATACCAAGGGATTTTGTTGCATCAAGTCATGGGTTCCTTAAGTTCCTCCTCTTAATTATCGACAGTAGTTCAAATGTACCAAAAGGAAAATGTGCTTTCCTACATACCTTTTATCCAGAGCAGTTCCCCTTCTGCCTTTACAGTAATCATGCCAGTGCTCCCACTTTCGTAGAACTCCAGGACAGACAGTGTAGCTGAAACTTTGTCACCGGGTCACCTATCTGAGTCAATGCATCTGCAGGAACTAAACTAATAAGTGGACACCTCACCCAGGAAACCAATTTTTTTGCTCTATGATGTCCCTGGACTGGCACCACCTCTATTTCCTGTCAACAAAGCTACAAACTCTAGGTTTTGCTGAGGCCATCCTTGCATGAAAAGCCCTTGTTCGCCCCATCTCAACGTATCCCCCAGGGACTGTCAACATAGCCTGTCTAAAGATAACTCTGCCTGTGGTCCAACCCTAAAAGGGGAAGTCCATTGAAAGATCTTACTAATGCCGCCACCGAACTCTACCATTCATTAACGGGTCCAGTAACCACTGCCGACTTACCGGCACAGAAACTTTCAATTATACGCCAGAAAACGGGAGACCCCTTTTATCGGCCCTCCACTGCTTTCACCACTTTAATGCAAAATACTTTTGCAGCAGAAATTTCAGCATCAAACAAATTTTGGGGGTTTGAGGATCTTCAGCATATCTACAATTACCCACTGTGGAAGGGGCGATGCTCTATCACTTACGTTTCCCTTATCTAACTTTCACATGGGCTAACATGTCTCTCCCTTTCCCCGTGTACCAGCGTAGCAAGATTCAGCTCCCAGCAAGACCCTGTATTCCCTTAAGTTTACTACTGCCCTCTCTATGGGGATTATCATGGTCAGCTACGGGAGGTAGAGCCTCGACATCCAGCATAACCGGTTTGAGGAGATGACGGTGGCCCTCCCCCGTACGGCAGAGGGCCTCCCTACACTTCAACAGCAGCTGGACTCCCTAGCCATTATAGTCCGACAAAACCGAAAAGCCTTCAATCTTCTCACAGACGGTCAAAGACACACGTTGGTATGTGAGAGATGAATGCTCTTTTTACATCAGTCAGTCTGGTTTAGCCCAAGAAAATATCAGAAATGTCATCACCCAGGCAAACGAAATGAACACTTTAGGAACTTCCATGGGAACTGGAAGCATTAGCTATTGTCTGCTCTGCTCCCTTTAACATTGCCAGTCGTTAACATACTTTTAGCTTTGACTTTTGGTCCCAGTGTGTTTAAAATGCTGATTTCTTACTCTCTTGCTTACAGCTTCTCCAGGTCCATATGATGGTCTTGCAAGGCTTTCAACCTTGGGTTGCTAATGAGCTATCTCATGTCTTGCCCACCAGTCCAGTGAAACATGTGGTTCCCACCCTGTAGGATCAGGCAGGAAGAGACGTTAGGGCCCAGGCTAGGCAGGGAGAATGCCCCACTCAGCAGGAAACAGCGTTAGAAGAACATTAAGCGGCCTAAAACAACACACGTGTATTATCCACAGTTCTGCAAGTCAAGACCAGGAAGGCTCAACCGGCCTCTCTGCTGAGTCTCTCCCAAGGCCAACTCTAAATGGGCCGGCTGGGTGCTAATGTGGAGATTGTGGAATAATCCACTTCCGAGCTTATTCAGGTTATTGCTCATTCGGATCTAGTTCCTTAAGGTGGTAGGAGTGTGGTTCCCATGTTTTGGTTGGCTGTCATCCAGGGACTGCTTTAAACGCTTAGAGCCACCCTATACCTTCTCGGGAGCACTGCTTTATCCTCAAAGAGGGCCTGCTGTGTCACATCCTTCTTGTGCTTTGACTCTCTTAGCTCTTCTTCTGCTCCTGTGTGATGAAAATGCTCTACTTTTCAAGGATTCCGCTGCCAGGTCTGGCCCAGCCACACCACACTCATGTCTCAAGGTTAACTGACTTGACACCTTAATTCTCCGGCAAAATCCCACCATAGCAGTATTAGGATTAGTGCTTGATTGAGTATCCGGGAGATGGGAATCTGGGGAATCAGACTACAGCTGTCTCAGTCAGCTCCAGCTGCTATCACAGAATACCACAGACTGGGTGGCTTCATCACCAGGCATTTCTTTCTCATCGTTCTGGAGGTTAGAAGTCCAAGATCAGGATGCCAGCGTGCTCAAATTCTGGTGGGGGTCCTCTTCCTGGCTTGTAGTCAGCCACTTTGCTATATCCTTACATTTTGAAGAGGCATGGAAGAACAAATTCTCTTTTCTCTAATTAGAAGGGCGTTAATCTCATCATAGGGACCCAACCATCATGACCACATCTAAACCTAATGACCTCCCAAACAGTCTACCTCCAAATATCATCCCATTGGGATTTAGGGTTTCATCGTATGAATTCTCAGAGGTCACACATATTCAGTCCGTTCATAATGCCTGCCAACCACGCAAGCCAGAAGTGGGCAGCAGCATTACGACAGGACCAACTGGGATAGCCCTGAAGGACAGTAGAGAAGGGAAATCCTCCCAGAGGAAAGAACTTTGAGCGGTGCTCCTGTGTGGAGGAGAGATGGCCAGACTTTTAAGTGTGTATCCTTGTACAGGCTGTGTCTCATTTATTGGCCGAATGATTAGGGACTTTGAGGACACATGATTGAAAATCTGTGACAAGGAGGTCTGGGGAAAAATATGTGGACAGACCTGTCCGAGTGGACATTCAATGTGAAGATAATTTGAGTCTCATGAGAGTTCTCACCAAAGGATAACCTCAGCAGAGCAGAAGTTTAATAATCTGAAGGATAAGGTACCTATTATCTAGATATTAATCAGCCTCTCTCCCCAACACTTGTGTCACAGCCTCATGAGCTCACAAAGTGGCCAAAGTGACAGGGATAGAGATTATGCTTCAGAGGCATGGACTTCCACTCACCAAGGCCAACCTGGCTACAGTCGATAGAGACATCAGACAGCCAAGGGTCCCTGGCTAAACTCCACTTTCAAGCCTAAAACGGCCTGAAGGTTGAAAAACCAGACTGCTGGTCCTGAATGAAACCCACAACCCAGAAAAAGAATTGTCACTGTTTGCTTGCCCTTTCCCAACTGAGTCTTTCTCATTAATGCTGCCGGGTACCCGGGGGAAGAGGGTAGAGCCATGGGAAAGTTGTGTCTCGTGCAGGAGTGGCAATGGGGAGCCTGGTCTCTTCGGTTTCTGTGTGATGGCACAGAAACAATCTGGGAGGTGGGGGCCTGTTAGCAGGATTCCCTCTCGCTTTGCTGAGAGTTCTTTCCTCCCTAATTTTCCTTTTCAACCGACACATTCCCCTCCTCACCCTGTAATGTGTGCGTGAACTTAATCTTTCCTGGTCATGTGACAAGAACTCAGTTTCAGCTGAACTAAGGAACAAAATTCTGTAACATAGTCATTGCTGAGTGTACAATCTGCCAGAAACAGAGAGCAACACTGAGTCTCTTATATGGCACCTGTCTCCAGGGTGATCAGCTAGCCACCAGATGGCAGGTGCTTACATTGGACCACTTTCAATATAGAAGGGACAGGGCTGTGTTCTTACTCAAATAGACAGGTATACTGACTATGGATCTTCATTTCCACCCACAGTAATTTGAGAAAATCAACATTTGTGCAGTTAGAAAAAATGCCTTATTTACCACCAGGGTATTCCACACAAGGCACTCACAGATAATAAAGTGTAGCGATGGGCCCACCCTCATAGGAATTCACTGGTCTTAATATTTATATTCCCTTATCCTCCATCAGCTTTTTTTAAGGTGGTACTGTCTTACCCACATTGGCCTTGAACTCCAAATCAGGCTCCCGAGCTGTCCCACATTATCTTAAGATGACTGGATCAACAGAACTGTGCAATGGACTTGAGGAACTCAGTTATAGTGCAAGCTAGGTGGCAATGTCTTGCAGATCTGAGAAATCACTTAGGAAGCAGTGTTTGCTGTATATTTGCATCCAACACAGTTTGCTTTCTTTCCCATAGTCAGGATTCTTGGTCCTAGATTCAAGGGGTATAACTGGGGGTGTCTCTACTCATACTCTATACCCCAGTGACCCACTAGCAAAAACGTTTCCTATTCTCCTGACGTTAGGCTCTGCTGAACTAGAAGTCTTATTTCCAAAGGAAGAAATGCTTTCACCAAGGGACACAACAGTGATTCCATTGAAAAGACATTCATACTGCCAGCTGGCCATTTTGGTCTCTTCATCACTTTCCATCTAGAGGCAAAGGAGGGGGTCATCCACTGGCTTGGGATGATGAACCTGACGATCAAAGGGGGATTAATTGCACTACACCAGGAGCTAAAAAGGAGTATGTCTGCTGTGTCTAGAGAGCTTCTTAGTCCTCCCATGTTTTCTGATTACACTTAATGGAAAAGTACAGCAACCCAATCCAGGCAGGTATCTAATGGTCCTTCAGACTGTTCAGTGATGAAGGTTTGAGTCATCCTGCCAGGTCAAGCACCATGACCAGATGACATACTATCTCAATGAAAAATGGGTAGTGAACGAAGGCAGTTATAAATACCGGCTACAACTATGCAGAAACCATGACCGTAATACTAAATACATTGGTGATTTCTCAACTCGTATCCCTCCTCAGGTGGAAGAATAAACCAACAAACAAACCACAAAAGTCTAGCTTTTACTAACAGAAATTTATTAAATTTCAAAAGCTCCATCTTTTCTTAGCTTCAGGAAGGGAATTTTCTTCACTTCAAAATTACAGGAAGCTTCAGCAATGACCTACTCCACTTTACAGCACATGTCCTTGTTTCTCCTTGGTATTTGCATTAACACAATTATTTTTTCTCATGTGCTTAACTTTGCTGAGATGGCAGTGGGAATCTACTCTTTTAGCACCTTCTTGAGTTGCTGAATTAAGGCAAAATTTTTAAGCCTGAAATGAAAGAGGTATTCCATTAACCAGAGGATACCCACGGCATCTGTGATATGTAAGAGGTAGTAGTGGATACAAAACAGACTTTACAATGTACATGCAGATAGAAAATGCATGCTCATGGAAAATACAAACTAGAAAAAGACCAAGTGAGTCACCTGAGGGCCCACACCCACTCCCAGATTATCATAAATTTGGAAGGCTCCATGGCATTGGAAAAAGGGGTTAGAATAAGAAAATATCAACCTAAATGCTTGGGGAAATAGCATGAACTATGACTGAGGGCCAGGGATTAGGAAGAACAAGGCATGATTTGTTCCTGCTCCTGTCCCAAACTGGGCACAAGTGCTTAAAACAATAGAAGAGTTTCCTTTTGGCACCCACCTTGCTGCTTCCTTAATGGCAAATTTAACAAGTTGTTTCTTGACTTCCATAGATCCTTGTACTTCATCAAGCAAAATGAAAATTCTTTCATAATCTGAAGGTATTAAAAAGTTAGTATTTCTAAAATTATGAAAATGAAATATACTTCAATCTCATTGCATCCACTACCGCAGTATACATTTTTTATGGGCTACAATGTTACACAGTGTTTGTGTTTTGAATGCTTAAATCACATCAGTATATTACTAAGGAAACTATTGTGAAAACTAACAAAGAAAAACACCTAAGCAGATGTATTTGAAATTTTCAGTGAAATTAAATAGAAGCCCTGCTAAATTACAGACAGATCCAATTTAGCCAAACGATGAGCTCAAGGGGAAGCATAATTGTGTTCTAAATCATAGAATGGGAGACTTCTCAGGCTTTCATTGATAGACATTCTTGCACTACTTACTTCGCCCACACCTTCGAACTTCTTTCATCAATTGATGTTTTATATCATCATTAACTTTCTTTGCCATAGCAGGAGATATTCGTGCTGTATTTGGCACAGTTTCCACCGGAGACCTTGCTGTGACTGGTGAATCACCTGCAGAGACACGGTAGTTTTGGGCTCCTACCACAAATTCGTTACTATCAGGTTTGTAAAGCAGCTTATCTTTGCTGAGACTAGTGCAGTTGTAAGACAAAGAATCTAACTTGTTGGGTTGCATACAATCTCCTGTCATATTTATAAGCTCTGGGGGAGCAGAATCTGACAGGAAGCCATCAGGTGGGGTCTGACCATTTTCTATCTCCTTCTGGATATCATGAATGACAGTAGCATCTGGAATCCAAATGGAAAAATTGAGCTGCGAGGTAAGTGCATTATGTCACTCCCACAGGTATATCCCTCGAAGGCTCAGTTTCGAGGAAGTTATGTCAGAAAGCAGGAGGATATACAAGGTGGCGATACCAGACACCTCGGACTGAGCTCAAAAAAGACAATACAACAAAACCACCTGCTTCCCTGCTGGACACTATGCAGGCATACAGAAACCAAGTAGGACAGTACAACCAATACACAAACATACACAGATCCCTGCTACTCCTGGATGAGGCACCAGCTCCTGACAGATTACTACGCCCTGGTGGAACCGCTGATGAGGAGTTATCAGGTGCTTGTTGGCCATTATTCGTCTTCTTCTCATGGACATTGTGAGAGATGGTGGCATCTGGAAAAAAAATGAAGAGGCCGAGCTGTGAGGTTAAGTGCATAATGAGAGCCCCACAGGTATATCCTGCTCATGCTCAGTTTCTAGAAAATTATCCCATAAAGCATGAGTATATACCAGGTGGCAACCAGAGAACCCTGAAATTGAGGCAAGAACAGATAATACAACAAAACCACCTTCTTCCCTTGATGACACTATGCCCGCATATGGAAATCAAGTAGGACACAACTTATAAGGAAACATACACAGATCCCTGGTACTCATGGCTAGGATGCTAGCCCCTGTCATATTAGGAAGTCCTGATGGAAGAGTTGACAAGAAGTTTTGAGTTGCTGGTTGGCCGTTTTTTATCTTCTCTTCATGGACATTGTGAGTGATGGAAGCATCTGGAAATCAAGTGAGGAGGAGGAGGTGTGAGGTACGTGCATTATGTGAAGCCCCAGGTATATTCCACTGAGGCTAAGTTTCAAGGAAATTATGCCATAAAGCAGGAGATGATGTGCCAGGTGACGATCTGAAAACCCTCAAACTAAGCTAACAAAAGATAATACAACAAAAACACCTTCTTCTCTTTATGACACTATGCATTCATATGGAAACCAAGTAGAAAGTACAACTAGTAAACAGATCCCTCGTAGTCTTGGCTATGATACCAGCTCCTGCCAAATTATTAAGCCCTGGTGTAACAGTGGGCAGGAAGTTATCAGGTGCTAGTTGGCTGTTTTTTATCTTCTTTTCACCGACATTGTGAGTGATGGTAGCATGTGGAAACCAAATGAAGAGGATGAGTTGTGAGAAAAATACATGATGTCAACCCTACGGGTATATTCCCGATGCTCAGTTTCTAGGAAATCATTGCATAAAGCAGGAGGACAGGCCAGGCAGTGTTCTGAAAACCCTAAATTCAGGTCACAAAAGATAATACAACAAAATTGCCTCCTCCCTTTCATGACACCATGCATGCATGTGGAAACCAAGGAGGACAATCCAACTTATAAGCTAACATATACAGATCATTGGTACTCATGGTTGGAATACCAGCTTTTGCCATGTTAATAAGCCCTGGTGGAACAGCTGACAAAATGTTATCAGGTGCTTGTTGGCCATTTTCCATCTTCTCTTCACGGACATTATGAGTGACAGTAGCAACTGGAAACCGAGAGAAGACGTCAAGCTGTGAGGTCAGTGCATTACAACAACCCTGCAGGTATATCCCTCTGATGCTCAGTTTTTAGAACATGATCTCATTAAGCAGAAGGATATACCAGGTGGCTATCTGAGACCTCCCAAAATGAGCTCACAAAAGATAATATAATAAAACGACCTTGTTTGATGTATGACCCTGCATGATTATGGAAACCAAGTAGGAAACCAAGCAGAAACAACCAGGAAACATACACTGAGCCCTGGTACTCATGGGTGGAGTACCAGCTCCTGATACATTAATAAGCCCTGGTGTAATGGATGACAAGAAGTTCTCAGGTGCTCTTTGACCATTGTTCATCTTCTCTCCATGGACATTGTGAGTGACTGCAGCATCTGGAAACCAAATGAAGAGGTTGAGCTGTAAGGTAAGTGTATTATGGTAACCCTACAGGTATATCCCTCTGACGCTCAGTTTCTAGGAAAATATTTCATGCAGCAGGAGAGGATATGCTGGGTGGCGATCTGAGAACACTCAAATTGAGCTCACGAAAGAAGGTACAACTGAACAACCTCCTTCCCTTGATGACACTATGCATACATATGAAAACCAAGTGAGACAATCCAACTTATAAACAAACATACACAGATCCTTGGTACTCATGGCTGGAATACCAGCTGCTGCCTTGTTAATACACCCTGGTGGAAAAGTTAACAATATGTTACTGAATTGGAGTTGGGCATTTTCCATCCTCTCCTCACGGATGTTGTGAGGCGTGGTAGCATCTGGAAGCAAAATGACCAGGTCAAGCTGTGAAATAAATGCCTTATTGAAACACACAGGTATACTCTTATGATGCAGAGCTTCTAATAAATTATTGCATGGAGCAGGAGGACATGACGGCAGTGTTCTGAGACCCCTCAAATTGCACTTAAGGAAGAGAATACAACAAAACCACTTTCTCCCATTTATGACACTATGAGCATATACTGAAATCAAATAGGAAAATCCAACTAATAAGAGAAGATACACAGTTGAATGGTACTCGTGGCCAGAAGAGCAGCTCCTGCCATACTAGTAAGCCCTGAAGGAACATTTGACTATATGTTATGCGATTGCGGATTTGCCATTTTCCATCCTCTCCTCATGGACATTGAGAATGACTATAGCATCTGAAAACCAAATGAAGAGGTTGAGCTGTGAGGTAAGTGCATTATTTCAACCCCACAGGTACATCCCTCTGATGCTGACTTTCTAGGAAATTATCAAAGAGAGCAGGTGTGGATATGCCAAGTTGCCCTCTGATACCCTTCCTATTGAGGCTAGGAAAGTATATACAACAAAATTACCCTCTACCATCCATGAAATTATGCCTGCTTAGGGAAAGCGAGTAGGACAGCACAAGTAAGAAGCAGACATACACAGATCTCTGGTCCTCCTGGATGAAATTCCAGCTGCTGCCATATTACCAAGCCCTGGTGGAGCAGTTGACAAGACGTTATCAGGTACCGGTTGGCTGTTACTTCTCTTCTCTTCACGGACGCTGTGCGTGACTGCAGCATCTGGAAACCAAATGAAATGGTTGAGCTGTGAGTTACTTGCATTATGTAAACCACACAGACATAGCCCTCAAATGCTCAGCATCTAGGAAATTATCACTTGGAGAAGGATATAGCAGGTAGCAATCTGAGAACCCTAAAATTCAGGCCAGGAAATTTAGTGCAACAACACTAGATTCTTTCCTCATGACACTGTGCATGCATATAGAAACCAAGTAGGACAGTATATCGAGTGAAGAAACATACACTGATCCCTGGTACTCATGGATGAAAAACCAGTTGCTCCCATATTAATAAGTGCTGGGGGAATAGTTGAGAAGACATTATTGGGTTCCGCTTCAGCACTTTTAATCATCTCCCCATGGACGTTGTGAGTGATGGTATAATCTGGAAAGACAATGAAGACGTTAAGTTTTGAGATAAGCGCATTATGTCAGCCCACAGGTGTATCCCCCTGATGATCAGTTTCTAGGAAACTATTTCAAAAAGCCAGAGAGAATATGCCAGATGGGCATCTGAGAACACTCAAATGTGCTCACGAAATATAATACAACAAAATCACCTTCTCCCTTTCAGGACACTAGTCATGCCTATGAAAACCAAGTAGGATAGTCCAAATGAATAAGCAAACATACACTGATCCCTGGTGCTCATGGCTGGGAGACCAGCTGTTGCCAAATAAGGAGGTCCTTGGAGAACAGTTGACAAGACGATATTAGGTGTTGGTTACTTGTTTTCCATGTTCTCTTTGTGGACATTTTGAGTGATCGTAGCATCTGAAAATCAAATGAAGAGGTTGAGCTGTGATGAAAGTTTCTAGAAAACTATCAAAGAAATCAGGGTAGTATATGCCACGTGGCTATCTGATACCCCTGAAATTAATGCTACGAAAATATATACAACAAAAGTAACTTGTAGCATTCATCAAACTATGCCTCCTTAGGGAAATCAAGTAGGACAGTACAACTAAGAAGCAGATATACACAGACCTCTGGTCCTCCTGGATGAAATTCCAGCTGCTGCCGTATTACCAAGCCCTAGTGGAGCAGTTGACAAGACGTTATCAGGTACTGGTTGGCTGTTACTTCTCTTCTCTTCACGGACGCTGTGCGTGACTGCAGCATCTGGAAACCAAATGAAATGGTTGAGCTGTGAGTTACTTGCATTATGTAAACCACACAGGCATCGCCCTCAAATGCTCAGCGTCTAGGAAATTATCACCTGGAGAAGGATATACCAGGCAGCAATCTGAGAACCCTAAACTTGAGGCCAGGAAAGATAGTACAACAACACTAGATTCTTTCCTCATGACACTGTGCATGCATATAGAAACCAAGTAGGACAGTATATCGAGTGAACAAACATACACGGATCCCTGGTACTCATGGATGAAACACCAGCTGCTCCCATATTAATAAGTGCTGGGGGAATAGTTGAGAAGACATTATTGGGTTCTGCTTCAGCATTTTTAATCTTCTCCCCATGGACGTTGTGAGTGATGGTAGAATCTGGAAAGCCAATGAAGACGTTAAGTTTTGAGTTAAGCGCATTAGGTCAGCCCACAGGTGTATCCCCCTGATGATCAGTTTCTAGGAATCTATTTCAAAAAGCCAGAGACAATATGCCAGATGGGCATCTGAGAACACTCAAATGTACTCATGAAATATAATACAACAAAATCACTTTCTCCTATTCAGGACACTAGTCATGCCTATGAAAACCAGGTAGGATAGTCAAAATGAATAAGCAAACATACACTGATCACTGGTGCTCATGGCTGGGAGACCAGCTGTTGCCAAATAAGGAGGTCCTTGGAGAACAGTTGACAAGACGTTATTAGGTGTTGGTTGCTTGTTTTCCCTGTTCTCTTTGTGGACATTTTGAATGATGGTAGCATCTGAAAATCAAATGAAGAGGTTGAGCTGTGATGAAAGTGCATTATGTCAACCGCACAGGTATATCCCTCTGATCCTCAGTTTCTAGAAAACTATCAAAGAAATCAGGGTAGTATATGCCACGTGGCTATCTGATACCCCTGAAATTAATGCTAGGAAACTATATACAGCAAAATTAACTTGTAGCATTCATCAACCTATGCCTCCTTAGGGAAATCAAGTAGGACAGTACAACTAAGAAGCAGATATACACAGACCTCCTGTCCTCCTGGATGAAATTCCAGCTACTGCCATATTACCAAGACCTGGTGGAGCAGCTGACCACACGTTGTCAGTTGCTAGTTGGATGTTATTTATCTTTACTTCATGGATATTGTGAGTGACTGCAGCATCTGGAAACCAACAGTAATGGCTGGGCTGTGAGGTAAGTGCATCCTGTGAACGTCACAGGCATATCCCTCTGATGCTCAGTATCTAGGACATTATCTCATAAAGAAGAAGGACATACCAAGCAGCAGTCTGAGAAGCTTAGGATTGAGGCCACGAGGCAAAACTATCCAGGACATAGGAGTAGGCAAGGACTTTATGAACAAAACACCAAAGCATGGGCAACAAAATCCAAAATAGACAAATGGGACCTAATCAAACTCCACAGCTTCCGCACGGCAAAAGAAACAGTCACTAGAGTGGATCGGCAACCAACAGAATGGGAAAAAATTTTTGCAGTTTACCCATCTGACAAAGGGCTGATATCCAGAATTTACAAAGAACTCAAACGGATTTACAGGAAAAAAACAAACAAGCCCATTCAAAAGTGGGCAAAGGATATGAACAGACACTTTACGAAAGAAGACATATATGAGGCCAACAATCATATGAAAAAATGCTCATCGTCACTGGTCATCAGAGAGATGCAAATCAAAACCACATTGAGATACCATCTCACGACAGTTAGAATGGCGATCATTAAAAAATCTGGAGACAACAGATGCTGGAGAGGATGTGGAGAAAAAGGAACACTTTTACACTGTTGGTGGGAGTGTAAATTAGTTCAACCATTGTGGAAGACAGTGTGGCGATTCCTCAAGGCCTTAGAAATAGAAATTCCATTTGACCCAGCAATCCCATTACTGGGTATATATCCAAAAGACTATAAATTGTTCTACTATAAGGACACATGTACACGAGTGTTCATTGCAGCACTGTTTACAATAGCAAAGACCTGGAATCAACCAAAATGCCCATTGATAATAGACTGGATTGGAAAAATGTGGCACATATACACCATGGAATATTATGCAGCAAACAGAAATGATGAGTTTGTATCGTTTGTAGGTACATGGATGAATCTGGGGAACGTCATCCTCAGCAAACTGACACAAGAACAGAAAATGAAACACCGCATATTCTCACTCATAGGCGGGTGATGAAAAATGAGAACACATGGACACAGAAAGGGGAGTACTAAACACTGGGGTCTATTGGGAGGAAAAGGGGAGGGCCAGTGGGAGGGGGAGGTGGGGAGGGATAGCCTGGGGAGAAATGCCAAATGTGGGTGAAGGGGAGAAGGAAAGAAAAGCACACTGCCATGTGTGTTCCTACGCAACTGTCTTCCATGCTCTGCTCATGTACCCCAAAACCTAAAATCCAATAAAAAATTAAAAAAAAAAGAAAAGATAGTACAAAAAAACTACATTCTTCCCTCATGACACTATGCACGCACATGGAAACCTAGTAGAATTGTAAACCAATTGCACAAAGGTACACTGATCCCTGGTGCTCATGGATGACACAACAGCTGCTGCCATATTAATAAGTGCTGGGGGACTAGCTGGGAAGGTTTCATTGAGTGCTGCGTGGGCATTTTTAATCTTCCCTCACAAACATTGTGAGTGATCGCACTATATGGAAATGAAATGAAGGGGTTCAGTGTTGAGGTATGTGCATTATGTTAACCCCACAGGTATATCCTCCTGGTGTTCACGTTCTAGAAAACTATTTCATAAAGCCATAGAGGACATGAAAACTATTTCATAAAGCCAGCAGGGGTGAATATGCTAAATGTGCATAAGATGCCCCTAAAATTGAGGCTTGGAAAGTATATACAACAAAATTAATTTGTAGTATTCATCAAACTATGCCTGTTTAGGGAAACCAAGTAGGACAGTAAAACTAAGAAGCAGACATACACACACCTCTGGTCCTCGTGGATGAAATTCCAGCTGCTGCCCTATGACCAAGACCTGGTGGAGCAGTTGAAAAGATGTTGTAAAGTGCTCGTTGGCCGTTATATATCATCGCTTCACGGACGTTGTGAGTGACCGCAGCATCTGGAAACCAAATGGAGTGGTTGAGCTGTGCATTATGTGCATTAAGTCAACCACACAGGCATACCCCTCGGATGCTCAGAATCGAGGAAATTATCTCATAAAGAAGAAGGACATACGAAGTAGCAGCCTGAGAACCGTAAATTTGAGGCCAGTAAAGATAGTACAACAACACTGTATTCTTCCCTCATGACACTACGCATGCATATAGAAATCAAGTAGGACAGTACGCCAAGTGAGCAAACTTACACTGATCCCTGGTACTCATGGATGAAACACCCGCTGCTGCCATATTAATATGTGCTGGTGGAATAGCTGAGAAAACATTCTTGGGTGCCGTTTGGGCATTTTAATCATCTCCTCACGGACATTGTGAGTGATGGTAGAATCTGGAAATGAAATCAGGAGGTTCAGTCTTGCGTTATGTGTACTATGTCAACTCTACAGGTATATCCTCCTGATACTCAGTTTCTAGAAAACGATTTCAAAAAGCTGAAGAGGATATGCCAGATGGCGATCTGAGAACACTCAAATGCAGCTCACTGAAGATAATACAATAAAATCACCTTCTCCCGTTCAGGACACTAGGCATGCCTATGAAAACCAAGTAGGATAGTCCAAATGAATAAGCAAACATACACTGATCCCTGGTGCTCATGGCTGGGAGACCAGCTGTTGCCAAATAAGGAAGTCCTTGGAGAACAGTTGACAAGACGTTATTAAGTGTTGGTTGGTTATTTTCCATCTTCTCTTTGCGGACATTTTGAGTGATGGTAGCATCTGAAAACCAAATGAAGAGGTTGAGCTGTAAGGTAAGTACATTATGTCAACCCCAGAGTTATATCCCTCTGATCCTCAGTTTCTAGGAAATTATCAAAGAAACCAGGGTAGGATATGCCACGTGGCTCTCTGATAACCCTCAAATTGATGCTAGGAAACTATATCCAACAAAATTAACTTGTAGCATTCATCAAACAATGCCTCCTTAGGGAATCCCAGTAGGACGGTCCAACTAAGAAGCAGACATACATAGATCTCTGGTCTTCGTGGATGAAATTCCAGCTGCTGCCAAATTACCAAGCCCTGGTGGAGCAGTTGACAATATGCTATCAGGTGCTAGTTGGACATTATTTATCTTTGCTTCATAGACGTTGTGAGTGATCGCAGCATCTGGAAACCAAATGAAGTGGTTGAGCTGTGTGTTTCATGCATTATGTCAACCGCACAGGCATACGCCTCTGATATTCAGTATCGAGGAAATCAACTCATAAAGAAGGACATACCAAGGAGCAGTCTGAGAACTGTAAAGTTGAGGCCAGTAAAGATAGTACAACAACACTGTATTCTTCCCTCATGACACTACACATGCATATAGAAATCAAGTAGGACAGTACGCCAAGGGAGCTAACTTACACTGATCCCTGGTACTCATGGACGAAACACCCGCTGCTGCCATATTAATATGTGCTGGTGGAATTGCTGAGAAAACATTATTGGGTGCTGTTTGTGCATTTTTAATCTTCTCCTCATGGACATTGTGAGTGATGGTAGAATCTGGAAATGAAATCAGGAGTTTCAGTTTTGAGTTATGTGTACTAGGTCAACTCTACAGTCATATCCCCCTGATACTCAGTTTGTAGAAAACGATTTCATAAAGCTGAAGAGGATATGCCAGATGGCTATCTGAGAACATTCAAATGCAGCTCACAGAATATAATACAACAAAATCACCTTCTCCCGTTCAGGACACTAGGCATCCCTATGAAAACCAAGTAGGATAGTCCAAATGAATAAGCAAACATACACTGATCCCTGGTGCTCATGGCTGGGAGACCAGCTGTTGCCAAATAAGGAAGACCTTGGAGAACAGTTGACAAGACGTTATTAGGCGTTGGTTGGTTATTTTCCATCTTCTCTTTGCAGACATTTTGAGTGATGGTAGCATCTGAAAACCAAATGAAGAGGTTGAGCTGTAAGGTAAGTATATTATGTCAACCCCAGAGGTATATCCGTCTGATACTCAGTTTCTAGGAAATTATCAAAGACAGCAGGGTTGGATATGCCCTGTGACTATCTGATACCCCTCAAATTGATGCTAGGAACGTGTATACAATAAAATTAACTTGTAGCATTCATGGATCTATGTCTCCTTAGGGAAATCAAGTAGGATGGTAAGACAAAGCAGCAGACCTACACAGACCTGTGTTCCACGTGGATGAAATTCCAGCTGCTGCCATACTACCAAGACCTGGTGGAGCAGCTGACAAGACGTTGTCAGGTGGTAGTTGGCCGTTATTTATCTTTGCTTCACGGACATTGTGAGTGACTGCAGCATCTGGAAACCAACAAAAAAGGCTGGGCTGTGAGGTAAGTGCATTATGTCAACCACAGCATACCCCTCTGATGCTCAGTATCCAGGAAACTATCTCATAAAGAAGAAGGACATACCAAGTAGCACTCTGAGAAACTTAAGATTCAGGCCAGGAAAGATAGTACAACAAAACTACATTCTTCCCTCATGACACTATGCACGCATATGGAAACCTAGTAGGATAGTAAACCAATTGCACAAAGGTACACTGATCCCTGTTGCTCAAGGATGACACAACAGTTGCTGCCATATTAATAAGTGCTGGGGAACTAGCTGGGAAGCTAGCTGGGAAGCTTTTATCGGGTACTGCTTGGGCATTTTTAATCTTCTTCTCACAGACATTGTGAAAGATCATACAATCTGGAAATTAAATAAAGGGGTTCAGTTTTGAGTTACATGCATTATGTTAACCCCACAGGTATATCCTCCTGATGCTCACTTTCTAGAAAACTATTTCAGGAAGCCAGAGAGGATATGCCAGGTGGCGATGTGAGAACACTCAAATGCAGCTCACGAAAGACAATACAACAAAATCACCTTCTCCCTTTCAGGACACTAGGCATGCCTATGAAAACCAGGTAGGATAGTCCAAATGAATAAGCAAACATACACTGATCCCTGGTGCTCATGGCTGGGAGACCAGCTGTTGCCAAATAAGGAAGTCCTTGGAGAACAGTTGACAAGGCGTTATTAAGTGTTGGTTGGTTATTTTCCATCTTCTCTTTGCAGACATTTTGAATGATGGTAGCATCTGAAAACCAAATACAGAGGCTGAGCTGTGACGGAAGTGCAGTGTGTCAACCCCAGAGGTATATCCCTCTGATCCTCACTTTCTAGGAAATTATAAAAGAATCCAGGGGTTGATATGTCACGTAGCCGTGATACCCCTCAAATTGATGCTAGGAAACTATATCCAAGAAAATTAACTTGTAGCATTCATCAAACAATGCCTCCTTAGGGAAACCAAGTAGGACAGTACAACTAAGAAGCAGACATACACAGATCTCCGGTCCTCGTAGATGAAAGTCCAGCTGCTGCCATATTAGCAAGACCTGGTGGAGCAGTTGACAAGAGGTTATCAGGTGCTGATTGGCCGTTATTTATCTTCTCTTCAAGGATTGCATGAGTGACTGCAGCATCTGGAAACCAAATGAAGTGGTTGAGCTGTGTGTTTCATGCATTATGTCAACCGCACAGGCATACCGCTCGGATGCTCGGTATCGAGGAAATTATCTCATAAAGAAGAAAGACATACCAAGTAGCAGTCTGAGAACCGTAAAGTTGAGGCCAGTAAAGATAGTACAACAACACTGTATTCTTCCCTCATGACACTACGCATGCATATAGAAACCAAGTAGGACAGTACGCCAAGTGAGCTAACTTACACTGATTCCTGGTACTCATAGAAGAAACACCAGCTGCTGCCATATTATTACGTGCTGGTGGAATACCTGAGAAGACATTATTGGCTGCCGTTTGGGCATTTTTAATCTTCTCCTCATGGACATTGTGAGTGATGGTAGAATCTGGAAATGAAATCAGGAGGTTCAGTTTTGAGTTATGTGTACTATGTCAACTCTACAGGCATATCCTCCTGATACTCAGTTTCTAGAAAACTATTTCATAAAGCTTAAGAGGATATGCTAGATGGTGATCTGAGAACATTCAAATGCAGCTCATGAATGTGAATACAACAAAATCACCTTCTCCCATTCAGGACACTAGGCATGCCTATGAAAACGAAGTAGGATAGTATAAATTAATAAGCAAACATACACTGACCCCTGGTGCTCATGGCTGGGAGACCAGCTGTTGCCAAATAAAGATGTTCTGGTAGAACAGTTGATAAGACGTTATTAGGTGTTGGTTGTGTATTTCTCATCTTCTCTTTGTGGACATTTTGAGTGACAGTAGCACCTGAAAACCAAATGAAGAGGTTGAGCTGTGAGGTATGTACATTATTCAACCCCAGAGGTATATCCCTCTGATCCTCACTTTCTAGGAAATTATCAAAGAATCCAGGGGTGAATATGCCAAGTGAAACATCTGATACCCCTCAAATTGAGGCTAGGAAAGTACATACAACAAAATTAACTTGTAGCATTCATCAAACTATGCCTCCTTAGGGAAACCAAGTAGGACAGTACAACTAAGAAGCAGACATACACAGACCTCTGGTCCTCGTGGATGAAATTCCAGCTGCCGCCATATTACCAAGACCTGCTGGAGCAGCTGACGAGACGTTGTGAGGTGCTAGTTGGCCATTATTTACCTTTGCTTCAGGGATATTGTGAGTGACTGCAGCATCTGGAAACCGAATGAAGTGGTTGAGCTGTGAGGTAAGTGCTTATGTCACTGCCACATGTATGTTTTTCTGACAATGAGATTTAAGTAATTGTTCCATCACACAAGAGGCTGTATCAGGTGGCGATCTGAGACCCTTCAAATTTAGGTCGGAAAAGATAATACAACCAAAGCACCTTTTTTCCTGCATGATACTGCATGTTTATGGAAACCAAGTAGGACAACGTAGTTAGTAAATGAACATGCAGAGATCCCTGGTACTCAGGGGTTGAATACCTGCTTCTGTGAAGTTCCTAAGCCCTGCTGTAATAGTTGACAAGAATTCATGAGGTGTTGTTTTGTCACTTTTTATCTTTTCTTCACAGACATTTTGAGCAATGGTAAAACCTGCAAACCACATGAAGAGTTTCAGCTGTGAGCTAAGTGCATTATATCAGCCCTATAGGTCTATCTCTCTGACGCTCAGTTTCTAGGAAATTATCTAATAAAGCAGGGGAGGATATGCCAGGTGGCCCTGTGAGAACCCTCCAATTGATCCCAGGAAAGTATATGCTATAAAACCACCTTCTACCTTTCATGAAATATGCAATCATATGGAAACCAGTGATGACACTACAACTAATTAAGAGACATACACAGATCCCTGGTACTCATGCATGGAAGAGCAGCTGCGACCATAAGACCAAGCAGTGATGGAACAGGTGACATGAGATTACCAGTTTGGGATGGGCCATTTTCCATCTTCTCTTCATGTACATTGTGAGAGATGGTACCATCTGGAAACCAAAGGAAGATTTTGAGCTTGAAGTAAGTGAATTACGTCAATGCCACCGGTATATCCCACTGATGATCAGTTTCTAGGAAATTATCCCATAAAGCAAAAGAACACATCAAATGATGATCTGCGGCTCCTCAAATTGAGGCCAAGAAAGACAATTCACAAAACAACCTTCTCCCCTTCATGGCACTATGCCTGCATATGGAAACCAAGGAGGACAGTACAAGTAAAAAATGAACATACACAGATCCCTGGTACTCATTGCTGGAATACCAGCTCCTGCCATATTATTAAACCATGCTAGAATATTTGGCCAGACGTTATCCTGTTGTGGTTGGTCATTTTCCATCCTCTGTTCATGGACATTGTGACTGACGGTGGCATCTGGAAAACAAATGAAGAGGTCAAGATAGGAGTAGGAGCATTATGCCGCCCCCACAGGTATATCCCTCTGATGTTCAGCTCCTGAGAAATTTTTGCACAAATCAAGATGACAAGAGCGGCATCTGGGACCCCTGAAACTGATCAAGAAAGATAATACAACAAGATCTCCATCTCCGATTCCTGACAATATACATGCATATGGAAACAAAGTAGGAAAATCCAACTAAAAAGTGAACATACACAGACCATCAGTACTCGTGGCTGGAATAGCAGCTCCTGCCTCATTAGTAAGTCCTATTGGAGCAGTTGATGAGATGTTGCCATGTTGGGGTTCGCCCTTTTCCATCTTCTCCTTAAGGACATTATAAAGTTTCGGTAGCATCTGGAAACCAAATGAAGAGCTGTGAGTAAGTGTATTATGGTAACTCCACAGGTATATCTGTGCTCAGTTTCTAGGAAATTATCTCATAAACCAGAGGATATACCAGGTTGCCATCTGAGACCCCTGAAATTGAGGCCTGGAAACATAGTATAACACAACCACCTCCTACCTTTTTTGACACTATACATGCATATGGAAACCAAGTAGGACAGTAATACTAACAAAAAAACTTACCCAGATCCCTGGTACTCATGGATGAAATACCAGCGCCTGCCATATTAATAAGTCCTGGCTGAAGTGTCAACAACACGTTGTCAGGTGCTGGTTGGACATATCCCATCTTCTGTTCATGGATGCTGTGAGTGATGGTAGCGTCTGGAAATCAAAGGAAGAGGTTGAGCTGTGAGGTAAGTGCATTAGGCAAACCATAAGTATATCCCTCTGATGCTCACTTTCCATGAAATTATTTCATAAAGCAGGAGGATATATAAGGTGGTGTATATATCTGGGACCACTCAGATTTAGTTCAGAAAATATAATACAAGAAAACCACCTGCTTCCCTTCAGAAGGCACTATGCATGCATATGAAAAGCAAGTAGGACAGTACAACTTATAAGCGGACATATAGCGATCTCTGGGACTCATGGCCGGAATAGCAGTTGCTACCATATTACAAAGCCCTGTGGAATCAGTTGACAAGACGTTACCAGGTTGGGGCTGCCCATTTTTCATTCTCTCTTCATTGATATTGTGAGTGACGGTAGCATCTGGAAACCAAATGAAGAGTTCAAGCTCTGAGGAAAGTGCATTATGTCAACCCCACAGGTATATACCTCTGGTGGTCAGTTTCTATGAAATTAACCCATAAAGCAGGACATATCAGGTGGAAAATGAGACGCCAGAAATTCAGACCAGAAACAATAATAAAACAAAATCACCGTCTTCCCTGCAGGTCACTGCATGCATACGGAAACCCAGTAGGACAGTATAACTAGTAAACAAACATACGCTGATCCCCAGTACTCAGGGGTGGAATACCAGCCCCTGTGAAATTTATAAGCCCTTCTATAACGGTTGACAGGGATCTATGAGGTGCCATTTGTTCCTTTTTTATCTTCTCTTCATAGACATTCTGAGTAACAGTTGAATCTGGAAACCAAAGGAAAAGGTTGAGCTGTGATGTAAATGCATTATGTCAGTCCCACAGGTGTATCCCTCTGATGCTCAGTTTCTACGACATTATCTAAGAAACAGGGTACAATATGGCTGGGCACGGTGGCTCACGTCTGTAATCCCAGCACTTTGGAAGACTGAGGCGGGTGGATCTCGAGGTCAAGAGATCAAGACCATCCTGGCCGACACGGTGAAACCCTGTCTCTACTAAAAATACAAATATTAGCTGGGCGTGGTGGTGCATGCCTGTTATCCCAGCTACTCAGGAGGCTGAGGCAGGAGAATCACTTGAACCCGGGAGGTGGAGATTGCAGCGACCGAGATAGCATCACTGCGCTCCAGCCTGGGCGAGAGAGTGAGAATCAGTTTTGAAAGAAAAAAGAAAAAAAAGAGAGAGAGAGAGAAAGAAAAAAAGAGAGATAAAGGGAGGAAGGAGAGGGAGGGAGGGAGGGAGGAAGGACGGATGGAAGGATGATATGCGGCCATCTGAGACCCCTCAAATTGAGAGTAGGAAAGAAAATACAACAAAACCGACTTCTACCATTCATGAACATATGCATGTTAGGGAAACCAAGTATTCAGTACTACTAATTAAAAGACATACACAGATCCCTGATACTCATGGATGGAATACCAGCTGCAGTCATATGACCAAGGCATAGTGGAACAGTTGACAAGACTTTATCAGTTTGGGGTTGGCCATTTTCCATCTTCTGTTCATGGACATTTTGAGTGACAGTAGCATCTGAAAACCAAACAAAGAGGTTGAGCTGTGAGGTAAGTGCATTATGACAACCTCACTGGTATATCCCTCTGATCTTTCTAGGAAATTATCTGATAAAGCAGGAGCAGACATCATATGATTCGAGTTCCATCAAATTGAGGTCGGGAAAGATAATTCCCCAAAACCACCTTCTTCTCTTCATCATATTGCGCATGCATATGGAATCGTAGTAGGATACTACATCTAATAAACAAACATACACACATCTCTGGTACTCATCACTAGAATACCAGCTCCTGTCATATAAATCTGCTGTGACCGAGCATTTGACAAGACACTATCTGGTTGCAGTTGACCATTTTCCATCCTTTCTTCACGGATATTGTGATTGACGGTAGTATGTGGAAACCAAGTGAAGAGGTTGAGCTCTGAAGTAAGTGCTTTATGTCAACCCCACAGGAATATCCCTCTGATGCTCAGTTTCTAGAAAATTATCTAAAAAATCAGGAGAGAATATGCCAGGTGGCCATGTGATATCCCCCAAATGGAGGCTAGGAAAGAATATGAAACAAAACCACCTTCTACCGTTCATGAAAATATGCCTGCTTATGGAAATCAGGTAGGATCGTACAATAAAGAAGCAGAGATACACAGATCTCTGGTCCTCGTGGATGAAATTCTAGGGGCTGCCAAATTACCAAGACCTGGTGGAGCAGTTGAACAGACGGTATGAGGTGCTGGTTGGCCGTTATTCATCTTCTCTTCATGGATGTTGTGAGTCACCGCAGCATCTGGAAACCAAATGAAGTGGTTGAGCTGTGTGTTATGTGCATTATGTCAACTGCACAGGCATACCCCTCGGATGCTCAGTATCTAGGAAATTATCTCATAAAGGAGGAGGACATACCAGTTAGCAATTTCAGAACCCTAAAATTGAGGCCAGAAAAGATAATACAACCAAATTACCATCTTCCCTCATGACGCCATGAATGTATACGGAAACCAAATAGGACAGTACAACAAGTGAACAAACTTACACTGATCGCCGAAACCCAGGGATGAAATACCAGCTGCTGTAATATTAATAAGCGCTGATGGAACAGTTGGAAAGACATTATAGGGTGTTGGTTGGCCATTTTTAACCTTTTCTTCACAGACATTGTGAGTGACGCTAGCACCTGGAAACCAACTGAAGAGGCTCAGTTGCAAGATAGGTGTGTTTTGTCCCATCATCCCGGTGAGACAGCTATGTATGAATCAGTTTCTATGGAATTATTCATTTCACGAAACAGAAGGACTTACCACATGGAAACATATATCAGGTCAGATTACACAATAAATCTACGTATGTATCTCTTGGCATAACGATGGTATGTAGTAAGTACAACAGTAGAATAAACATTCACAGATTTCTCGCACTCATCATTTTGTATCATCTTGCTGCCCTTTACAATTCTCATTTGATTTCGCTTTTATAGTTCACCTATACATGCCATGCTGTGCGCAGCAGGAAAGCCAGACTAAGTGAGGCCTTGTTGACTTGCCTCCTTTCTACATCATATAATCTGAGAAAATAGAGGTGGCTATTGGAGTTGAACACTCTTATCTCCACTCCATTGTCACACATCCCTAGTTTTTACGTGATTCTACAGATCCTCCCCTTTTGTCTGGAAAAGTAACATTCTTTTTACTCCAGGTCTGTCACCTCTTTCATTTATTCATTGTCTGTGGCAGGCGGCATGCCAGGAGCTGGGGATCAGCAGTAAAGAGGACGGAGAGCAACGGTCCCTGCCTTTGTGGGACTCATATCCCCATGGGGCAGTCACACAGGACATACACAATGAGCAAATGAAACAAGTAGCATTGGGCTGGTGTCGGGGAAGTAGTCCACATGCCTGAGGGAGACAGCAGCAGAGGGAGCCTCAGGGGCTCTGGCTCCTTGGGCAGAGCAATCTGAAGAAGTGCCATTGGACAGGGCTTGGAGGAAAAAGCAGAGCCTTCTGTGCAGAGGCAGAGGGAGAGTTCCAGACTGCGGTGAGGCCAAGGGTAGGGGCTGGAGTGGGAATGGACTGGGCACTACAGGGTGTTAGACAGAGGCAAAGAGAGCCAGGAGAAAATGGATGGGACCCTTGTTAGGAGAGGGACAGTTGAGGATGGGATTTTAGGAGGGAAATGGCATGCTGACCTAATTTTCTAGCCACAGGGTTAGAGAGTATGCTACAGATGAGGGAAGATTAGAAAGACAGCCAAGAAGATGTTGTATTACCTTGGTCAGCGATCACGGCAGTGTGCACTGGAGTGATAGCGGGAAATGGTGGGATGCAGAGTTTATACTGGGCATTGACTGCTGAACTTGATAAGAGATTGGAAATGAGAGAATAATAAAAGAATCATAAGAGAAATCATAAGTGACTTTAAGTATTTTGGGGTGACCTACTAAGTAAAAGTATACCAGGGATGTGCAGGAGGGGTTAGGCAACCGACTATGGGAGCGGAATGCTGCCAACTCTTCCTGATTCTGGTTCAGTGACCTTATGTCGACAGCTTGAACTAGGCCATGGTGGGATTATTTGTACCGTGGACAGCTGAAAACTCTAAAACCAGGACTTCTGAATCCCCCATACCTGTGAACAGCTGCTTGTTACACCTTTGTGGATGTTTCACCTAATGGACAGTGTCTTTAACTGAAACAGTGAAGGCTGTGAGTAAAGTATTTTTGGAGAGAGGGAGGTCAGAAATTTGAACTTGCAGAGCTGGTTGAAATGTAGATGCCTATTAGACACCCTATAGAGATACTACACGTGTAGTTGTTTATGAGTTTGGATTTCAGGAGCAAGTCGTAGCCTAGAAGTTTAATGGTGACAGTTCTTGTAGTGTGAATCATTTAAAATTCTAAGACAGCATGACATCACCTATGGAGATAGGATATTGAAGAGAAGAGAGGCTAGGATCAAGTTTTGGTGCCCTGAAATATTTAGAGGTAGGAAGCAAGAGGAGAAAAACAAAAAAGGAGAAGGAAAACTGAGCCCTTAGTAACAGAGTAAGAAATCCAGGTGTCTGGGGACCCAAGAAGTTTTCCGTGCAGGAGGGCGTAAACAACTGTGTCACATGCTGCTGAGGAATTGATGTCAAAGTGCAGCAAACATGGCGACCTCGATGGCACTATTTTCTTTGGAGTAGACTAAGAAGAAGCCATACTGCACTGGGTTAGAGAGGAGTATGTGGACAGGCGGAAAGTGAGCAGACCTGTCCTCTTGTTGTGCCCACCACCTCCTTCTGCCTCAGGAACCTGCTTTATTCATCTCACGCTTGCAGCAACTGCAAATTGTTGCACCTAATTAGAACCTTGCGCTTCCACTTGCAAATGTGCTCATATCTGTTCATCCTTCAAGGACAAGGCCACAAATGTCCTTTGACACGATTGAAGCCCAAAGATTGGATTCCCCCTCAGCTTCCTGTTGGTGTAACCACCGGGACGTACCCTGCCTTGTCGTAGAATAACAGCGTCTCTTGGATTTTCTGGAACGTCTCCTTTTCCTTTGATGCCTTCTTGCAGCCTGATTTACTTTGTCACTCCTCATTTGCTGAAAAACATCAGTGAACATATTCCATTAAAGACAAATACAACCATTGCAAAGTCACAGTCTTCATATGCATACACAGCCATGCATTTATATCATTAAGTTTTAGCCAAAGGTCCAAGATTCATCATCACACACGATGCTCGCAGAAAAGGCAAGCCAACTATAATGTAGTTTCAGTGAAACAAGCGAAGGCAAAATACAAGGTGTTATGCAAAGTCAAACATGGTACAGTCATGATTAATCAGAGTGCTTGGGGAATGAGTGGCTTTCATCAACCAAGGCAAGAAACATGCTTATCTCTCTAATGTAGTACACATAATTGTCTCTCAGCCCTTGTTAGGGGACAAAAAAAGCAAATACCGTTTTTATTTTTTAGTTGTTGAAAGTTACTTATTAACAATACTGATTAATACTATATTAGATAATATATGTAGACAGTGAAAGGTAGCATCGATTGAAAAGGTAAATTTTCCCACCTCCAACCTTATGGAGACTCAAATATGTTCATTTTGGAGCCAGGTAGGGGCAGGAGGTGCTTTGAAATATTGGTGGTGAATAAAACATGAAATTGAAGGATATACTAGGTTAACTAAAAGGTCCTGCCATCAAAAGATAACCCGAGAATATGCTCCTGCCTACTTAAAAAGTACTATTTGGCACTATTTCTACTGAAACTATATAAAAAAATTGAAAAGGAGGGACTCCTACTACATTTTAGGAGACCAGCATCATCCGGATACCAAAATCTGGCAGCGATACAGCAACAACAAACACTTCAGGCTGGTGTTCCTGATGAGCAATGACGCAAATATCCTTAATAAAATACTGGCCAACTGAATCGAGCAGCACATCAAAAAACTTATCTACCATGAACAAGTTGGCTTCATTGCCAGGACTCAAGGTCAGTTCAGAATAGGTAAATCAAGAAATGTAATTCATCACATAAATAGAACTAAAGGCAAAAACCACATGATTATCTCAATGGATGCAGAAAAGGCCTTTGATAAAATTCAACATCCCATTATATTAAAAGCTCTCGGGCCGGGCACGGTGGCTCAAGCCTGTAATCCCAGCACTTTGGAGGCCGAGCGGGTGGATCACGAGGTTAAGAGATCGAGACCATCCTGCTCAACATGGTGAAACCCCGTCTCTACTAAAAATACAAAAAATTAGCTGGGCATGGTGGCGCGTGCCTGTAATCCCAGCTACTCGGGAGGCTGAGGCAGGAGAATTGCCTGAACCCAGGTGGCAAAGGTTGCGGTGAGCCGAGATTGTGCCATTGCACTCCAACCTGGGTACCAAGAGTGAAACTCGTCTCAAAAAAAAAATAGCTCCCAAGAAACCAGGTATTGAATGCACACATCTCCAAACAGTAAGACCCATATATGACAAACTTACAGCCAATATCATATCGAATGGGAAAAAGCTGGAAGCATTCCTCTTGAAACTTGCACAAGACAAGGATGCCCTCCCTCACCAGTCCTGTCCAACATAGTATCAGACGTTCTGGCCAGGGCAATCAGGCAAGACAAAGAAAGAAAGGGTATTCAAATAGGGAAAGAGGACATGAAGTTATCTTTGTTTGCAGATGACATGGCCCCATATATAGAAAATACTATCATCTCAGTCCAAAAGTTTCTGAAGATGATAAGCAACTTCAGCAAACTCTCATGATATAAAATCCATGCGCAAAAATTGCTAGCATCCCTATATACCAAAAACAGGCAAGCAGAGAGCCAAATCATGAATGAACTCCCATTCACAATTGCTACAAAAAGAATAAAATACTTATGAATACAGCTAACAAGGGAAGTGAAGGACTTCCTCAGAGAGAACTTCAAACCACTGCTCAAAGAAATCCGAAGAGGACACAAACAAATGGAAAAACACTCCATACTCACGGATAGGAAGAATGAATATCGTGAAAATGGCCATACTGCCCAAAGTAATTGAGAGATTCAGTGCTATTCCCATTAAACTATCATGGACATTCTTCACAGAAGTAGAAGAAACTCTTTAAATTTCATATGGATCCCCCCAAAAAAGCCACAATCGCCAAGACAATCCTAAGCAAAAGGGAGAAAGCTGGAGGCATCATGCTACCTAACTTCAAACTATACCGTGGGGCAACAGTAACCAAGACGGCATGGTACTGGTAGAAAAACAGATACATGGACCAATGGACCAGATTAGAGAACTTGGAAGTAAGATCACACAATGATAAACATCTGATCTTGACAAACCTGACAAAAATAAGCAATGGAGACAGGATTCCCTATTTAATTAATGATACTGGGAGAATTGGCTAGCCATATACAAAAATTGAAACTGGGCCCCTTCCTTACAACTTATACAAAAATTAACGGAAGATGGATTAAATACTTAAATGTAACATCCAAAACTATAAAAACCCTATAAGAAAATCAAGGCAATATTATTCAGGACATAAGTTCGGCCAAAGATTTCATGACAGAAATGCCAAAAGCCATGGCAACAAAATAAAAATCTGACAAATGGGATCTAATGAAACTAAATCCTTCTACAGAGCAAAATGAACAATAATCAGAGTGAACAGACAACCTACAGAATGGGAGAAAACTTCTGCAATCTGTCTATCTGACAAAGGTCTAATATCCAGAGTCTACAAGAAACTTAAACACATTTACAAAAGAAAACTAAACAACCCCATTAAAAAGTAGGCAAAGGACGTGAACAGACACTTCTCAAAAGAAGATATTCATGCGGCCAACAAACATATGAAGAAAAGCTCAACATCACTGATCATTAGAGAAATGCAAATCAAAGCCATAATAAGATACCATCGCACAGTAGTCAGAATGGCGATTATTAAAACGTCAAAAACTACAGATGCTGGCAAGGTTGCGGAGAAAAAGGAACACTTTTACACTGTTGGTGGGAATGTAAATTACTTCAACCATGTGGAAGACAGTGTGGTGATTCCCAAAAGATCTAGAGGCAGAAATATAACTTGATTCACCAATCAAGTTATACTGGGTATACACCCAAGGAAATAGAAATCATTCCATTATAAAGATATATGCACACGTATATTCATTGCAGCACTATTTACAATAGCAAGATGTGGAATCAACCCAAATGGCCATCAATGATAGACTGGATCAAGAAAATGTAGTACACATACACCAGGGAACACTATGCAGCCATAAAAAGGAATGAGATCATGTCCTTTGCGGAAACATTGACGGAGCTGGAAGCCATTATCCTCAACAAACTAATGCAGAGAAAGAAAACCAAACAGTGCGTGTTCTCACTTTTAAGTGGGAGCTGAATGATGAGAACACACAGACACATCAGGTAGGGCACCACACGCTGGGTCTTTCTGGGGGAGGGCTGGGGGGAGAGAGTACATCAGGAAGAATAGCTAATGGATGCTGGGCTTAATACCAAGGTGATTGATTGACAGGTGCAGCAAACCACCGTGCCACACATTTACCTATGTAAGAAACCTCCATATCCTGCACATGTACCCCAGAACTTAAAATAATAGGTGAAGTAATAACGAATATGCTCCCGCATTAAATAGGAAAGAGTATCAGCAGTATATTTCAAGAAATACATATATATATATATATACCATGTAATATATAGAACGTATATAATATATAATTTTGATTTTAAAATTTTCCAAAGCATTCTCACATCCTATAAAAGAGGAGCTGAGAATGTGTGAAGACATTTTTACTGAACATTTACTACCCTCCAGGTACTTTTCTAAATGCTTTGCATGTATTAACTCAATCCTTGGCCAATCCCTATGAGTGAGGTGTGATTCTTATCTCTTTCCTTAAGAAAGCGAAAATAAAGGCACGGAAAATTAGGGAAGAGTCTAATTAATTGAGGAGTGGGAAAGAATACAGACTATGCATTCGAACCCTGGCTCTATGTCCTACCATGTGTCACTGTAGGGCAAGCCATTTGACCGCTGTCAGCCTTGATTTCTCATTAAAGGCGAGATAGTAATACACATCTGCAGAACAATTATGAGCATTAAATGTGATAATTAAAAACATCAGCTCCTAGTCCAATGAATCTACTCTTGGACCAAAAAGTTCCCATTTTATGTTCACATGAGAATTCCTGTGTCATATTCTTAGCTTTTAAATCAAGAGAATTAACACATATAGTTTATATTCATCTTTCCACTGAGAAATACTTATACTAAGAATGTCACAATTAGGGCAGAAATAGAAAGTTATCTTACCTGGCCATCATTTGTAAGCACAGAGCCAACAGTGTGACGTTTTCCAGGTGGAGTTGGCTGACTCGTTTGAAGTG